ATATTAGATAATAAAGATAAATAGAACTATACTAAGATTCTACCTAGTATATATCGCTATATTTAGAAGTGGTGGGCTCTTATATAGGATAGGACGAACACTACGGATAGCTTTATATAGAAGATTAATAATTATCTTTAGACCCTAGAAGATACTAAGCGATATAGCACTAACTAGGTAAAGAAGATCTATATAGCTAGTGATATCCGAATTAGTTTGCCTAATATCCCTTATAGGTCGATAGGCCCCATAACTAAGAGGCGGAGAAGCATTTTACTATATTTTATATATATTAGAGATAACCACTTAACTCTAGATACTCTAGAGTCCGGTATATAAGAAGAAGTGTCTATGGCACACTGAGACCTTATATAAGCTCTAAGAACTCTATTAGGGCTTACGAGTAGTGTATATAGCCGTCTGTAGTATATATTCCCTATGGCGCCACGATTCCGCGGGGAAGGTTTAATCTCTGAATACTTAGTTAGTCGTAGCCGCTAGATAGACCTTAGTGTGTTAGCTAAGTTAGATATTCTCTTCAGACCGAATAAAGTAGTAGTAACTGCCTATATTATCTTATAGAGGAGGAAGGCGTAGCAAATATACGCCTAATTATTTAGAGATATGATTAAGGCGGAGAAGCTAGTATTCGGGAAAGATTCCTTCTTCTACCGTAAGGTATTAGGGCTATATATTAGTCCCCCTAATCTAGAAATTATATCTCCGGAGGATAATAATAATAAGGAAGAGATATAATATCCGCGGCGATAGGGAATAGGTATTCTAGTCCTATCTTTCTTTGCTTTTATTAAAGTGGCTTAGGCATTCTAAATTAACTACGCTCAACCACGGGACGGTTAATTTTATAGGGAGGGGTAATATATAGTGGGAGAATTAGTGATATAATAAGCCTATGTGTGGCCTTAGGCATAATTTAATATCTGTAGTGCATAGTATATCTCCAGACACACTTAGAGGGAGATAAGTTATCTACCCAATTCATTTAGGATTCACCCAATTTCTTCTATCTATAATATAGCATTAAGATTATCCCGCACGGCCGCAACAGGGCATCAGTACGGCCTCATCCAGCATCCTCTACACCAGACAGGCAGTGTGTGTGTGTGTGTGTTGTCCAGTCTGCATCGCCAGATAGCCATCGAGCCGTTCCCATTTCACTACCTAATTCATTTAGGATTCACCCCATTTCTTCTATTTAGAATATAGCATTAAGATTATCCCGTACGGCCGCAATAGGGCATCAGCACGGCCTCATCCAGCGTCCTCTACACTAGGCAGGCTGTGTGTGTGTGTGTGTGTTGTCCAGTCTGCATCGCCAGACAGCTATCGAGCCGTTCCCATTTCATTAGATATTTATAATTTTATTAACTTTTTATTACTATTAATTATTAACTTCTATTAATAAAGTTAGGTCTATAATTTAATCTATAAGTAAATTACGGTTTATAAGATAGCGAAGCTTATCTAAAAAAAAGACTAAGTTAATCTTAATGAATAATAATAAATTAAGCTAATAAGTATAATCTTTCTTTAAAAAAATCTTATAGGGATTACTAAACTATTGGAATATAGACCAATGCTACATAGAAAGATCTATTCTTATATTCAACATATAAGACCAGATTGCATTGATCACGTGACCAGATTTTTCTTCTATCAAAATGATATGTTGACCACTTCTGATTCTGGTCCGCGGCCCCCCCCCCCCCCGAACGATAGGCGGGACCATTTTCCTTTAGGGGTAAATGGTCCGCCTTCAGGCATGAATGGTCCGTTCCTTCGGGGGTGCCTTCGGGCATACCTTGCCCGCGGACTTCGACCATGGTCTTCGGACCTCGGTGAAGAGACTTCGACCCTCGGTCCCCTTAAGGATAGGCGGACCACTTTCCCTTAGGGGTAAAATAGTCTACCTTTGGGTATGCATAGCCTGATCCTACGGGGATGCCTTCGGGGTGGCTTAGACCGTCGATCCTTGATATCATTCTTTTCGCTTCTCTTCGGTTCCCTTCTTTGCCACCTTCATTATGTTGCTGCCTAGTGTTTGTACGTCATTTGGATGTCATTCTAGACGTTATTTCTAGGCTATCCTAGCCTATAAATACGTCTTTCTTTTCTAGCAGATAGAATCAAGTCATTTTCCACTTTCCAAAAGTCATCTCTACCTTCTTCCTTTGATCCTTAGGACTGTGGTTCTGCCTTCGTTTAGGCTATATCTGCTTATAGTCTATCCTACGACCTTTGACCTTCTTCCTTGGTCCGGCACTGACTGACCTAGCCGGACTAAGGTTGATCCCACGGACTTAAGGGGCCACGAAGTGCTTCGTGGTAGCTTTCCCCTTATATTCCAACATAAAATAATTAGAGAATTTCCTTTTAGTTAGTTAATTTTTAAATCTTAATAATAATAAAGACTATATTACTAATATTAAAATTTATTTTTAAGTATATTTATTAACTTAGGTATAACGTAATTCCCACCAAGCCCGCCACCCATTCAATTTTCGCGTCTCCATGCATCCCTCATCTGTTTAAACCACCCACCATGCCACCAATTCGTTCTATAAAGAAGTAAGATTCTATCCAGAGAGAAGGTAGGATCGAACTTGCAATTCAGGCTATTCAGAATAAAGCTATTCCCTCAATATCTGCTGCTGCGCGCGTCTATAGCATACCGCGTTCTACGCTACGCGACCGTATCCAGGGCCGCCGTTCAATAGCGATCACACGCGCCCACACCTATAAAATGTCCTATCTAGATAAGGATACGCTTACCCAGTGGATCCTATCTATGGATAATCGCGGTGCAGCCCCTAGGCATGCTATAGTACGCAATATGGCCAATATTCTTCTTACAGCAGCCGATACAGATAAGCCAACTACTATCGGCAAGAACTGGGTCGGAAGCTATATCAAACGCACGCTAGCTATCCAGACACGTTTCTCGCGTCGGTATAACTATTCACGCGCAGAGCAAGAGGATCCGTGGGTATTAAATAAATGGTTTCGGCTAGTTAGGGAGACTATTACGCGCTATGGTATCCCGCCTGATAATATGTATAATTTCGATGAAACTGGCTTCGCAATAGGCCTAGTTTCTACCGCAAGGGTAGTTACTAGAGCTGAATATTATGGCCGTCGATTAGTATTGCAGCCAGGCAATCGTGAATAGGTGACCGCAGTGGAAACAGTTAATGCTTTAGGCTGGGCTTTGCCGCTATTAATTATATTTAAAGGCAAGCGCTATATTGAATTATGGTTCCACGATACCCTAAGGGACTGGCGCTTCGAAGTTAGTCTAAATGGGTGGACTTCCGATGCAATTAGGCTTCGCTGGCTTCGAACGCTTTTTATTCCTTTGACGCAAGTCGTATACGTGGTCGGTATAGGCTATTAATCCTTGATAGTTATGGAAGCCACCTTACGCCTGAATTTGATCGTCTATGCACTGAACACGACGTTATATCTATATGTATGCCACCGCATAGCTTATATCTATTACAGCCTCTAGATATAGGCTGTTTCGCAGTTCTAAATTGATTATACGGTCAGCTGGTGGACCAACAGACGCGTATAGGTATAAACCATATCGATAAGCTTGATTTCCTTGCAGCCTACCCACGCGCGCGCGAAGATGCATTTCAGGTTAGAGGCATCCAGAATGCATTCAAAGCGACCGGTTTGATCCCTTTAAATGCGGCAGAAGTCCTTGAAAGGCTTAATATCCAGCTTCGTCCGCCTACACCAGACCGACTATCAAGCCGATCAAGCATTTATTGCCCCGAAACACTAAGCAATATCAAACAGCTTTCAAAGCATAAGGCATCAGCAAGACGGCTTATCAAATATCGGTCTGATAGCCTACCTACGCCTACAAAAGAGGCATTTGATCAGGCTTATAAGGTATACGAACAAGTCATAAAGCGCATCCTTCTATTAGAGCAAGAAGTGACAGATCTACGCGCTGCAAACTACAAAAAGATAAAAAGAAAGGCATTGCCTAAACGGCAAATACAGCGCGATGAGGGCTTATTCGTTCATGAAGCCCATGAGCAAGGTATTGGTCTACCAGGTGGAATAGAAGGTGGCGGGGTGGTATCTGCAACACCCACCCAGAGGCCTTCAGTGACCGATAATCACACCAATAAACGTCAATACGTATGTAGTCTATGCAGAAAACCTGGCCATAGGGCTTACGCATGTCCGGATAAGGCTTAAATTGAATATAAAGGCGTTGTGGTTTTATAAAAGCTTCATGAATAAAGAATAAGTGGATGGGGTGGCGGGTTTGGTGTGGTGGCGGGTTTGGTGTGGATTACGTTATGGCCTGCGCCACAGTATTCAAAGCGACAAACGGGCGCGAATTCAGATCAGTACTTCTGCAGATTAAAGACATTCTGAAACGGTGCACTAAATCGTGGAAGCATGGAGGTTTGATTATATTGGAAATTAGATAGATCGACTCAATTTTGAGTCGTGGGGCCTGATTCGGGAAGTTCGCCCGATGGATGAAAAAGGCCGTGAGATGAAACGCTCCAGGTTTCCCGAGTCATGAAAACGAGATCCTACCCCGGGGCCTCGGCACTATATACTTATAAGGCTCTAAACAAATTAAATTATTGGTATAAACTAACTATTCTGAGGTGTAGGATTTGATGAACATTTTAGAAAGGTTGTATTCCAAGGTTGGTGAAAGATTGTGGACGTTCCGTGGTTACAAAATTTATTTCCGACATAGCCTGACACAAAACGGCTTCACACCCCGAGGTCGGACATTCCTGTTTGTATTCATTTAGAAATTTGGACAGTTTTGCATTTAGTACAATAGTGAAAACTTGACTCATTCGTGTTGATCTCGATCCGATGTCTCGTTCTGGTTAAGGTAAATTCTTTATCATGGTGAATGAATGCTACAATTCCCGATAACACGCCGGTCGATCGCAACGCTGCTCAATATACATACACAGGAGTATTTGTCTCCTTCAGAGGCGTGATTTAGAATCAGATTTTGCGTCATCCGCTAATGCCTTTTCAACATCCTTGATGGCAAACTTGGCCTTCGCCCTCGGCAAGGTTGATCGTCCCTGTGGACCCGGATCATTCAAAAGACCCACCTCACGCCAGCCACCAATATCACCAACTTCAAGTACAGTTCCAGACGGATACGTCGAGGTTGTCACAAGTGACATCATGGCCTTGACAATCTCATCCGGTGGAAGAGTGAAATCATTTTCCAGATCAATGTGCGCTTGAGCCTTGGGACTATCGCGGAACAAGGGGGTATCCACAACTCTGTAAAATAGTATCAGCAAAACCATTACAATCCTGTCTGGACGGACTGATTGCTTACCCAGGTGCAACGGCCACAACTCGAATACCTGCGAGACCATCCAATGGTGCCATACATCTCACAAACTGGCTAAGAGCTGCCTTCGAAACCGAGTAGAGAGGGTTGACGGCGCTAGGAATTTGGGCCACAATACTGGAGATAGGAATGACCACACCAGGCTTTTGAGCGCGACGCAGTCTCCGAATAGCGATTCTAGTCATCTTGATTGGGTGATTGACATTCACATCGAAGACTTTGTACGACGCACTGTCTAGATCGGCCCAGAAACTGTTCGACGAGGGCTCGTAGACTCCTGCACCGGGGACAATGATGTCGGGGGCTCCATTAAATTCCTTCTCGAAAGCATCGAATGCTGATTCGATTTGTGCCCAATCTGTGACGTCGGTCTTGCGAAATAGTACCTTGGGAGAGGAGCGACTCGAGATACTTTGGAGCCATTCTTTGGCCGAGGCGTGGAGGGCGAGGTCAGCTATGAGGATAGAGCAGCCATTTTCATACAATGCCTTTGCAAAACCAAGACCGATTCCTAGTGCAAGACTATAGTTTAGTTGGGGTTGGAAGCTCCAGTGTCACAGAGTACTTACCCGAGCCAGCGCCAGTAATGACCGCTGTCTTGCCTTGTGGATTAATAGGCGGCATGTTTAATTGGACGTAAGTTTTAATTCAGGATAAAAAATATGATATGAAAATAACGATTATCTGGGGTTTTCTTTGAGGAAAGCTGGCCTATAAAATTGCAGATCGACGTATGGAAGCCGTAAAGCCCCACCTGCTGGGGATTCCGCGGAACCACAATTTTCGGAATCAAACAACACATCAACAAGATGCCGGTCGATTCGAAATATATGATTGGTCCAGTCAATCTCAACTCTTAACCCCCTGCCTTAGATTCGTAATCATCGACATTGATCGGAAATCTGCCACCTGGAGGAATCATTCCGCGACTCAGAATTCCATATAGATGGTAGCTGCAACGTCGCTAATTTTGGAAGTCAGATACCACCTTTGCTGTTCAAATCATCAACATGTCTCATTCGAAAACCCCGGGGTCCCCTCCAGTACCACACCATACCAGCGCCGGCACGCCATACAAAATCGACGAAAACACACCTGACATATTCCGACCGTTGAGCATTCGGTCGGTCACCCTCAGAAATCGGATATGCGTTTCCCCGATGTGTCTTTACTCTATTGCCTCCGCCGGTCCCCTTAAAGGTGTGATGACGCCTCTGTATATTACCACGATCGGTCACAATGTTTTCAAGGGCGCTGCGCTGGCCATGATTGAGGCTACCGGTGTTCAGGCTAATGGCCGCATCACACCCCACTGCCCAGGTCTTTGGAATGATGCTCAGGAGCAGGGTCTGAAGCCAATTGTGGACTTCATTCACTCCCAGGGCGGTCTTTGCGGTGTGCAATTATCGCATGCCGGACGGAAGTCGAGTACCCAGCCTCCGTTGGTTGCGCAGCAGGTGGGTAAGTCGAGTGCGAGGGCTAACGAGGAGGATAATGGATGGCCTGATGATGTTTTGGGTCCTTCTGGAGGTGCCGAGAACTCATTCGATGGTAAAGGCCTTGATCCATGCGGTGGCTACCATATACCCAAGGCGATGACAGAGGCCGAGATCAAGGATTTAGTGTCGAATTACGCGAAATCTGCTCAGCGGGCTGCGAGAGCCGGTATAGATGTCGTTGAGATTCACGCTGCCCACGGCTATCTCATCAACCAGTTCCTCAGTCCTGTTACCAACCGCCGGACCGATAGGTATGGTGGAAGCTTTGAGAACAGAATTCGCATCTTGATCGAGGTCATCCTTGCTGTTCGAGCGGTGATCCCGGAGAGCATGCCTATGTTTGTTCGAGTGGGCGTGACAGATTGGTTGGAAAATACGGAGCTTGGAAAGAAATATGGAACCTGGACCGAAGAGTCGACTCTTAAGCTGTCGAGGTTGTTGCCGGATCTAGGTGTCGATCTCATCGATGTCAGCTCAGGAGGAAACCATTATCAAGCTCAGCTCAACGTCTTTGATGGTGGAGACAAGCACACTGAAATGGCTTTGAAGGTCAAGCAGGTTCTGCAAGCCGCAGGTAGCAAGTTGTTGGTCGGAACGGTTGGCTTGATTACTGAGGCCAAGCAAGCTCGTGATCTGGTGCAGGGTGGCCTCATGAGAGGTCCTGGAGTTGATATCATCTCTGTTGGCCGACAGTTCCTTCGAGAGCCAGACTGGGTGTTGAACGTTGCTGAGAAGCTTGGAGTCGACGTCGCCTGGCCGGTTCAACTCCAGCGTCTTCGACCTGGCCCAATGTCCAAAATTTAAAGGACATATGGATGATAACCTAAGTGTGGCAATTATCTTATTTAGCTGTGAAGATATTGTACTGTCAGATTCCAACTTCTTGCGAGATTTTATTTAAGCTCTTTTATTTATTATAAAACACCACGTCAGCAAATCCCAAATTTCACTTCAAATCCTAGTTCAATTTTCATTGCAGTCAGATTGTAATGCGAAACATCCTATAGACAGACCCCTTTAAACGTTCTCAACCATCTCAACTGACGGACCCGACATGTCCTTGCTATCATTTCCATCACCCTCATCCAGCGTATCAACGTTCAACTCACGCTGATAAACGGCAACCATATCTTCATCACCAAATATGGCGGCAATCTCCTCAAGCGGTTTATTCTTCGTATCCTTAAACCAAAACATAACAACGACCCCCGCAACACCTGGAATGCACGTAAAAACTAAATACCAGCGCCACGAAATACTACTCATGGCGGAAGGTGTAGCCTGTAGCCACATCAAGTTGGTAGCCGAAAGAACAGCCATCGCAATAGCAAATCCTTGGGATCGGACATGCGAAGGCCAGATTTCGGCAATGTAGAAGTATGTAGGCCCGTCAAGGAAAAGTGAGAAGGTGGCTTGGAAGAGGAAAATGATTGCGACGCATGCGCTTAGTCCGGGACGGTTGTCAGTCCCGAGGTAGAAACTTTGTAGTGCTGTGAGAGTGCCCACTAGAGCGGCACAGCCCAGTAGACCACCGGCAATCAGCCAGTTACGGCGTACGCGGTCGACAAATGTCATGGCGACGACGTTGAAGACGAAGCCGGCTAATTGGAAGCCGCACTGGAAGTTGAGAATTTGAACCGTGTCGAAACCGAGGGATTTCCAGATGATGGAGCCGTAATCTAATGAGGATCCAAAGATTAGCGACCAGATTTGGAAACATAAGAACCACAGCAGATAAAAACATTGACTTACTCAGAATGACCAAGACACCCGAGCTCATGAGCGCAAACTCAAGGAAAACAGTCATCGCCAATCTCTTCCGCATAGAGGATTTCTTGAACAGGGTCCAGTATGAAGTAGCAAATTCTGCATCAAGTCTGATCTGCTTCTTCATCTGGAAGAATTCTCGTCGCGCAAATTCTTGCTCCGGATCATCGGGGCTAGAATGCATGCGCATAATGATTTTACGGGCCTCTTCAGTGCGATCCTTGGACAACAAATATCGTGGCGACTCCGGCAACCAATATAAGCCGCATAGGATAATGACCGGCAGTGCCATTTGAAGTGCGATGGGCCCCCGCCATTGGTTGTCACCTGAAACAAAGTAAAATCCCAGACCGACGTAGCAAGCAACTGTATAACCGACCATCATCATCACGGCATGTATGTCGGTGAGGAGGCCTCGGAGGCGAGGAGGAGCTAGCTCAGCGACCCAAATGGGGACACTGGAGAGGATGACCATCGCACTAAGAGTGAAAGCAAAATTTCAACCAAAGGTATGTTTCAAAATCGAGGGATAAGACTTACCCAAAACCACTGAAAAAGCGAAATGCAATGAACATGGTCGGGTTGACAGACGCGGTCATCAGGGCACCAGAAAAGATGAGAAGAGCATTTCCGAATCCCGCTGAGAATTTACGTCCAAATTGATTACTGCTCCAACCTGCGAAAAAACTGCCAAACACGCCGCCAGTGTAGAACAGTGCATTCATGGCACCTGTGATGGCCTCGGCATTTGGAGCCGTGTCTAATTTGAAGTGTGCGACGAAAGACGGCTGTGTAAGGGTTGTCGCAATGACAGAGCCCGCATATCCATAAGCGGCGGAACTAAGGGTGATAAAGAAGACAACTGCAGCGGTGTACACGTTGATATGTTGATGTTTGTTGAATTGGTCGTCTCTCCTTTGCAGCGTTTCGGTGGGCTCTAACTTTTTGAGCTGCATGATGATAGTTGCTTCAAGTTTTATGTTTTTCAATGAGAGTACTGCTCCGATGTACTTCCCCAGCCAGCGTCTTAAATAATTACGTTTAGATCTACATACTGGCCTTGTATGTTTGACATCAACCGGTGTCAAATGCCGATATCTCAGTGCCTGCGGCTGACAGCCATGGGTAATTCCAGGCTTTACCAGATCGATCACATTCCACGCGTTTTACAGATTGTAGCTTTCGTATTATTTTTCCACGGAAGTAACTATTAATTTCGGAATGATATAATCAAAGAAATACAGTTCAACCCCAGGCTAGACTCTGAAAGCCATGGGGTAATTGCGGGGTAAGTGCCGGGATTCTCACCGATACTTGGCCATAGGGTCTAGTTAAGCCAAGCTCGGGAGTTGTTACCAGTTGACTCACAGGGCATTTGAGCTTTACATGACTTGATACCTAGGGAGCTACTTGAGTGGGAAACAACTGAGCTTGTTGTGTTTTGACAAACCTTGGTCGTGATATGAGTCTGGTCAAGAAGATACCCGTGGGCTTTTCATATATTCTCTGGAGCAACGGAAAATAAAAAGAGAAGTCGAGTGAAAATTTAGGTAAATTTTTATGCCCAAACATTTTGGTTCCTTTGAAACCATTATATCCGTCATTCAATGTCATCAACCCAACGTGAAGCCCGATGGTGCTATCCACTACATGAAACTGCAGACTTGCGGAGTGATGGACTTGGTAGAATTACTGAAGGGGCCCTGAAGAAGGTGGCGTAGGATGAGTACTAGAGATCCCGGCTCAACTATCAATCTCAGGTATCAGGTTGGATTAGGCAATACCACCCAGAGAAAATTGATTTGGATAGTAGATCCATCTAACGTAATCCACAAGCCATCCGCCACCACAACCCATCCGCCACCCCACCCACTTATTCTTCTATTCATGAAGCCTTTAAACTACCACAATGCATTTATATTCAATTTAATCTCTATCTGGACATATATTAGCACTATGGCCAGGCCTTCTTGCATACGCTGCATGCATATTGACGTCTATTGGTTGACTCAACGGTCGCTGAAGCTCTCCGGGTGGGTGTTGTAGAGACCACCCCACCACCTTCTATGCCCCCTGGTAGACCAATGCCTTGCCTATGGGCTTCATGAACGAATAAGCCCTCATCGCGCTGTATTTGCCGTTTAGGCAATGCCTTTTTTTTTATCTTTTTATAGTTTGCAGCACGTAGATCTGTCACTTCTTGCTCCAATAGAAGGATACGCTTTATGACTTGTTCGCATGCCTTGTAAGCCTGATTAAACACCTCTTTTGTAGGCGTCGGTGGGCTATCTGACCGATACTTAATAAGACGCTTTGCTGATGCCCTATGCTTTGAAAGCTGTTTGATATTGCTTGGTGTTTCGGGGCAATAAATGCTTGATCGGCTTGATGGTCGGTCTGATAGTGTAGGCAGACGAAGCTAAATATTGAGCTTATCAAGGACTTCTGCCGCATTCAACGGTATTAAACCGGTCGCTTTGAATGCATTCTGGATGCTTCTAACCTGAAAGGCGTCTTCGCGTGCGCGTGGGTAGGCTACAAGGAAATCAAGCTTGTCGATATGATTTATCCCTATATGTGTCTATTGGTCCACTAAGCGACCGTATAATCGTTTTAGCACTGCGAAACAGTCTACATCTAGCGGCTATAATAGATATAAGCTATACGGTGGCATATATATAGGTATAACGTCGTTTTTAGTGCATAGACGATCAAATTCAGGCATAAGGTGGCTTCCATAACCATCAAGAATCAATAGCCTATACCGACCACGTATGCGGTTTGCGGTTAAAGGAATAAAAAGCGTTCGAAGCCATCGAAGCCTAATTGCGTCAGATGTCCACCTATTTGGGCTTACCTCGAAGCGCCAGTCCTTTGGGGTATCATAGAACCATAATTTAATATAGCGCTTGCCTTTGAATATAATCAACGGTGGTAAAGCCTAGCCTAAAGCATTAACTGTCTCTACTGCGGTCACCTATTCACGATTGCCTGGCTGTAAGACAGATCTCCGGCCATAGTATTCAGCTCTAGTGACCACTTTTGCGGTAGAAACGAGGCCCATTACGAAGCCTGTTTCATCGAATTTATAGATATTATCAGGCGGGATACCATAGCGCGTAATAGTCTCCCTAACTAGCTGAAACCAGTCATTTAATACCCGGGGATCCTCTTGCTCTGTACGCTGATAGTTATATCGTCGCGAGAAACGTGTTTGGATAGACGGTGTACGTTTGATATAGTTCCCAACCCAATTTACGCCGACTGTAGTGGAACCGGTAGCCCTAAGAAGAATATTGGCCATATTGCGTACCATTGCATGCCGAGGGGATGCACCGCGATTATCCATAGATAGAATCCACTTGGTAAGCGTATCCTTATCTAGCTGGGTCATTTTATGGCCATTAGCGCGTGTAGTAGCCTTTGAAAGATGACCATTAATGCGGTCGCGCAGCGTAGATCGCGGTATGCTATAGACGCGCGCAGCAGCCGTGATAGTCGGAATATCCTTATTTTTAAAAGCCTGGATTGCAAGTTCAAGCCTACCCTCTTGATGGATAGCATCTTGGCTTGTTTCGGAACGAATTGGTGGCATAATAAATGATTTAAAGTGGTGGGGGATATACGGAGACGCGAAATTGGACGGGGTGGCGGATGGGTTGTGGTGGCGGATGGCTTGTGGATTACGTTACAGCACGTACCAAAATGTAAAATCAAATATTGTAGTGGGAGAATTGGTGACATAATGAGCCTATGTGTGGCCTCAGGCATGATTTAATGTCTGCAGTGCATAGTACATCTCCAGACACACTTGGAGGGAGACAAGTCATCTACCCAATTCATTCAGGATTCACCCAATTTCTTCTATCCATGATGCAGCATTAAGATTATCCCGCACGGCCGCAACAGGGCATCAGTACGGCCTCATCCAGCATCCTCTACACCAGACAGGCAGTGTGTGTGTGTGTTGTCCAGTCTGCATCGCCAGACAGCCATCGAGCCGTTCCCATTTCAATATTTAATTCAAGTTTCGTCATGGTATTTCCAATAGTTCGATTTGATCTAAATGCATGTACTATCTAATAAGTCACACGAGGATGTCAAAAATGAAAGATCGAGTCAGACGGAATATTCCAACACAGAGCCCGCCCTTAAAACTTTGCTGTAATCATCTTCTCGGCCGCAACTGAAGGAATGAACCATCTATATAGCATCAATATCAGTAAGCCATTGTCTTAGATCAGTTGAATGAGATGAGAAACTTACGTCAGATCCTTGTCTGACTTTTCTTTACACTCATCGGCGATAAATCCATTACCTAGCCAGGCAAAGGTTAGATCTTCACCTTCGCATAGACTCTCCCAGTCAAAGTCCTCCCAGCGAGGGTGGCTCAAAAGCTGGAAGTAGTGCAATCTTGAGCCGGGATGAAGCGAGATCAAAGGACCCTCTGGCTTGCCATTCTTGTATGTCGATGCACAGTTGGAATTCCAGGCAGTCTTCTCCAGCCAGGCTAGAGCTTGGCGTTGATACGCACGAGGGATATGCGGCTTTGGCACAACAGAGCTATAGTTCTCTGTTTGAAGTTTGCGGACAAATTTGGCAATGTACTCCGTCACGCGCTCAAGAGAGCTGACCACGCTGCCGTGCCCAAGGGGACTGCCTGGACCAAGGTAGATGAAGTAGTTGGGCATATCAGCAGCAGTGACTGAGAGATAGCACTCAGGGTTATCATCCCATTTCTCCTGCAGGTTGATGTTATTGCGACCGATGACAGGGTAGCGAGGCGAGAAAGACATGTTGAAACCGGTGGCACAGATGATCGTGTCAACGTCTCGTTGTTCACCGTTGTCTGCTAGAAGACCAGTCTCATTGAAAGAGGTGATGCCTCCCCAGATGACTTCAACCTTGGGCGAGCAGAGAGCCTCAAGATAACCGTTTCCTGGTGTTGTGCGGCGACAGCTGCGAGTTGTCTTTCTTTAGCTTCCCTCCGTATGATAGACGATAACGGAAAGAACTTACCCAACGGCGAAATCTGGAACCAACTTTTGGCTGATTTCTGGCTTGGCAGAGAGCTTCTCATTCATCTGAGAGGTGGAGTATCTAAGGGCTTCCTTTTGAGCGTCTGAATCTTTGAGATAGAGGCGGAAACGAGAATTCAGCTCCGACTCAACCTCCTTCCGATACTGAAGATACTCCTCGGGGTGTGTGGCCCAGTGCTTCTTTTGTTCCTCTGTAAAGAAAACATTTGCGCCATTGGGACCAGCAAACTTCTGAGCGAAGCTAGCCGTTACCCATGTCTTACTACGAATGTAGACATAAACCTTCTCCACATCGTCGAGGATATTAGGTAGAATTTGGACACCGGTACTGCCGTTACCAATCAAAGCGACAGTCTTGCCCTTGAGATTGGCGGTCTTTGGCCAAGCAGCAGAATGAATCATCTCACCCTTAAAGGTTTCTCTTCCAGGAATGGTAGGCCACTTCCAGTCATTGAAGCATCCTCCTGCGTTGATCAGAACGTCACATTCTTCAATGAAAGGCTCTCCAGATTCTCCGTCCTTGTTGACTCGGTTGCTGACCATCAACTCTCTGCCGTCGGTCGCGACAATCTTCACTTGCCATTTCTGCTTCTCTTCAATCCACTTGGCACCGATGATTTTGTGAGAGACCTTCACATATTTTCGCAGATTGTGTTGATCAGCAACCGCTTCAATGTAGGTGTGGATGTCTTTTCCGGTAGCATAGTAGCTTTTGAAGTAAGGACATGGGGCCCAAGAGTACTATAAAAATGTTAGAGAACTGAAATACCAATGAAAAATTGTATTAAATACCTGGTAGTTGTGCACAGGGATATCACAGCTATGATCTAATAAGCATCAACCTATAGTGATGGCAGTGGGGTAACATACGCGCATCTGTCAACAAGTCAGTAAACATCCATAGTCAATGTGGAGCGAAATAAACATACCCGGGGTATCTGTTCTCATACCAAGTTCCTCCAACTGAGGCATTCTTTTCGTATACCGTGAGGCTCACGTTAGGAAGGTTGCCAAGTTCGACCTCACGCGCGAACGCCAAGCCACTGAAACCTGCACCAACGCAGATCACCTTCAATGCACGAGCTTCACCCAGTGGTAATCTTGAGATGGCGTATGCAAGTTCATCGCGCCCCTTGTAAAATTCTGTCGCCTCTCCCTGTGACACAGTGGGTGGCAGAACCTGTTGGAAGGATTTGAGAGCGTCCTCTTGAGCTTGTGTAGGCATGATGGAGTGTGATCTTGTTTCTGGTAAGGGGATAGATAGAGTAAATTAATTTTAAATTGTTTGAGTTGAAGACATATATAACATATATACTAAAGCATTTGTGTAGTGCTGTTGCCCGAACCCAGATGAAGCCGAACCAAGATGATACCGTTGGAACTCTGGTTCCGGTACATATTGGCACAAATTGCACAAATGTTATGTAAATAACGGTAACAAGGGGTGGCGTTACCGTAACCATCCCATCCCGCAAATACACGGGCAGAAACAATTCCGCGGAATGACTTTCTAGGATTCAGAGCAAAAAGGGGGTAATAGTCCCGTAGCATACCCACACCGCTTCGGGTGTTGGTCCGCCGGGGCCCAACGCAAATTTGGATCCTAACACATATCTTGAAGCTATTCACACCTATTGTTCCACACCCACTATGGATCCTTTGTATATAGCTATTGAGTAATGTATTTAGGCCGCTTGCGAAGCCGCTAGATACCGGAAAAACGCCAAAATCACCTCGCTAACGCGCGAATTTAACGTTCTAATAACCTAGCTGCGGGTACGTCTCCACGGTCGGCTATCTCGCTCTTAGCGTACTATTATTACTAAGCGTCTTAATCCCTCGTAAGAAACAGTATTGATTAGCTAGATCAATACTCTTAATAGCCTCTACGTTCTACCTACCGCGCGTATAGTTACAGTGAGTGCGAATGCGATAATCGAGAGAGATAGGGGAGCACCAGTTAATAAGATATAGGTATATAACTTTATTAAGCGCCTACCTAATAGCCTTTATTAGGTAAAATAAAAGCTAGCGAAGAAGGTAAGGGTTAAGGCTAAAGATATTAGTATCCTATAAGCTTAGTATAATTATCTTAAGCTATTCGTAAAGCGTATTCCGCTATCGAATATCTATAATTTTAATAAGACTAGCTTCTAGCTTAATTAGAGAAAGCCTTAAAAGGTTATTAACCGTAATAAATATTATATAAGGCTATTCTTAAGCGAAAGAGGTAATCTCCTGTTGGGATATAAGGGTAAAGCTACCACGAAGCAGATCGTGGCCCCTTAAGTCCGTGGGATCAACCTTAGTCCGACTAGGTCAGTCGGTGCCAGACAAAGGTAGAAGGTCAAAGGTCGTAGGATAGACTATAAGCAGATATAGCCTAAACGAAGGCAGAACCACAGTCCTGAGGATCAAAGGAAGAAGGTAGAGATGACTTTGGAAAGTGGAAAATGACTTAAGGAAAGTAGAACTGACTTGATTCTATCTGCTAGAAAAGAGGGACGTATTTATAGGCTAGGATAGCCTAGAAATGACGTCTAGAATGACATACAAATGACGTACAAACACTAGGCAGCAACATAATGAAGGTGGCAAAGAAGGGAACCGAAGAGAAGCGAAAAGAATGATGTCAAGGATCGACGGTCTAAGCCACCCCGAAAGCGCCCCCGCAGGATCAGGCTATGCATGCCTAAAGGTGGACCATTTTACCCCTAAGGGAAAGTGGTCCGCCTATCCTTAAGGGGACCGAGGGTCGAAGTCTGTTCACCGGGGTCCGAAGACCATGGTCGAAGTCCGCGGGCAAGGCATGCCCGAAAGCACCCCCAAAGGAACGGACCATTCATGCCTGAAGGCGGACCATTTACCCCTAAGGAAAATGGTCCCGCCTATCGTTCGGGGGAGGGCCGCGGACCAGAATCAGAAGTGGTCAAAACATCATTTTGATAGAAGAAAAATCTGGTCACGTGATCAATGCAATCTGGTCTTATATGTTGAATATAAGGATAGATCTTTCTATGTAGCATTGGTCTATATTCCAATATCTCCTAACTAGAATTAAGTGTGTTATAGCTAATAGATAGCTTACAGAGCTATATTTTATTATACTAAGTGTTATCTACCTTAAGCGATAATATAATAGTGTAACCCTCTTAGATAAATCACGAAATATAGTATCGTTATCTAGATATTCGAATAATATCCTTACGGTTAATTAGCTTTATTTCTTTTAGTAATATATCTATAACCGCGCCTATAGTAGTCAGAGGTTATTACTTTTCGATAGTTATAGCTTATATCTTATATAGGAATTCCTTTACCTTTACGAATAATAGAATATTATCGCCTTTATCTTCCCTCCGTATATTATATATATCGTTCAGCCTCTCGATAAAAGCCTATTTTAAGCCTTAAAAGAGAGATTCCGCGCTAAGAATAATACTCTCGCGCAGTAGGGTAGGGATATAAAGGATATTAGCGTCTTCTTCCGCGAGATCACTAATATATAGGAGTAGGTATTAAAGTCGCGTATTATTCGGAAGATATTTATAGACCGTAGTATTTATCCTTTTAATCTAGCTATAGTTATTAAACGCCTCGAGGCTATAAGATTACTTACGCTAGAGCTTTATTAGCTTACTAGGGATACTCTACCGCTATAATAATTATTTAGTTTACTTAGTTCCCCGCCTATATCTAAAACTTAGGCACGCTATATATAAGGGAAAATATCTAGGATAGCTAAGCGTAAGGGTATTAACCCAGATACTAGCCAGTAGATCGATCGGCTTTCCCGCTATATTATCTAGTGAAATGGGAACGGCTCGATGGCTGTCTGGCGATGCAGACTGGACAACACACACACACACACTGCCTGTCTGGTATAGAGGATACTGGATGAGGCCGTACTAATACCCTATTGCGGCCGTGCGGGATAATCTTAATACTATATTATGGATAGAAGAAATTGGGTGAATCCTGAATGAATTAGGTAGATAACTTATCTCTCTCTAAGTGTGTCTAGAGATATACTATATACTATAGATACTAAATTATGCCTAAGGCTATATATAGGCTTATTATATTATTAGTTCTCTTATCATATATTACCCCTCCCTATAAAATTAACTGTCTTATAGTTAAGTGCAGTTAATTTAGAATACCTAAGCCACTTTAATAAAAGTAAAGAAAGATAGGACTAGAATACCTATTCCCTATCGCCGCGGATATTATATCTCTTCCTTATTATGATTATCCTCCGGAGATATAACTTCTGGATTAGGGGGGACTAATATATAGCCCTAATACCTTATAATAGAAGAAGGAATCTTTCCTAAATATTAGCTTCTCCGCCTTAATTATATCTTTAAATAATTAGGTATATATTTACTGCGCCTTCTTCCTCTATAAGATAATATAGGCGGTTACTATAGCTTTATCCGGTCTAAAGAGGATATCTAACTTAGCTAATATATTAGGGTCTATCCAGCGGCTATAAATAACTAAGTATTTAGAGATTAAATCTTCTCTATAGAATTATAGCGCTATGTCGGCATATTCAAGGACTGTCAGTATTACCTTTGTCAGCATTATCAAGGACTGTCAGCATTACCTTTAGTCATCTCAGAAGACTATGATCTTTATAATTGGTCAGGTAAATACGAAAAGCCACCTAATTATAATAGGTCTATTAAAAGGTGTTCTATGGATAGACTATTAATGATGCCTTGATATAGGTCTAGACTATTGATGATACCTTGACATAGGTCTAGACTATTAATGATGCCTTGACAATAGGTCTAGACTAAAAATGATGCCTTGACAATAGGTCTAGACTATTAATGATGCCTTGACAACTAAAAATGATGCCTAGACTATGATTGATTTCAAAGCAAGACAGGCCTAGACTTAAAACAATGCAAGTCTAATATAGGCCTAGAATTTTGTTGATTGGATATAAATATGTCCGCAATTCTCTACAAGAAAAATATAATTCTTCTTCAATCATCATATCATACCCTGAGGGTTCCTATTAAGGAAATATTCTTATATTCATCGAAGGATAGAAGACTTGATCTCCCATTAGATCTCCCACTGGATCTCCCACACGCTATAAGGAATATATATTATAGACAGCTATATACGTTACTTATAAGCCTTAATAGAGTTCTTAGAGCTTATATAAGGTCTTAGTGTGCTTTAAATACTTCTTTTCATATACTAGACTTTAGGATATTTAGAGTTAAGTAGTTATCTCTAATATATATAAATTATAGTAAAATACTTCTCTGCCTCTTAGTTACGGGGCCTATTGTGATCACAGAAGGTGGTTACCTAATATATATACTGGTGCAACGGATCTCTCGGTACCGGAGAGATCTCGTTATGGCTTTTAGCCTATGGGTTAAGCGCGAGCACCAGCGTGTGAGATCTCACTATTAACTTATAGGGGATACTAAGTAAACTAATTCGGATATCACTAGCTATATAGATCTCCTTTACTTAGTTAGTACTATATCTCTTAGTATCTTCTAGGGTCTAAAGCTAATTATTAATCTTTTATATAAAGCTATCTAAAATATTTGTCTTATCCCGTACGAGAGCCTATTACTTCTGAATATAGCGATATATATTAGGTAAAATCTTAGTATAGTTCTATTTATCTTTATTGTCTAATACTAGACTACCTTATAGGATTATATTATCTTATTTAGTCTGTACTAGGTTATTTAGATTTATATCAATATACCTAAAATAAGTCTATTCCTTAGGTATAGTACTCTTTACGTAGTATAAATAGGAGATTAGTTAGTAAGCGTAGTCTAGCCAGAAGAAAATATAGTATATATAGTACGCTAGATCCTAACGGATAAGCTATTAAATAATACTATACTATATATTCCTTAATTATCTAAGGCGAGGCTTATCTATATAAGGTAGATAGTAATAATTATATATATCTATCTCCTTATATATAAGAGTAAGAAGGCTACCTAGGTAATACCTATTAAAGTCCTTCTTTAATTAGCTAAATAATTATAAAATAATTATACTCCCTCGCTTTATATTTATAACTTTAATATAATAGGTATAGATATTATAGGGTTAGGAGTAGGAGATACCCTATAATAGAGACTTTTAAAGGATAACTAGATTATCTTACGATAGTAAGCGATAATAGGAGGATTAGCCTAATACTTAAAGTAATAGAAATCTAACTATTAC